TTATGCAAATAGCGCATAGCGCATAGTGCATAGTGCATAGCGCATAGCGCAAAGCTCATAGCGCATAACGCATATCGCTTATCCAAAACTCGAAAGTCGAAACTCAAAAATCGCATATCGCGTTATGCAAATAGCGCATAACGCATAGTGCATAGTGCATAGCGCATAGCACATAGCTCATAGCGCATAACGCATATCGCTTATCGCAAACTCGAAAGTCGAAACTCAAAAATCGCATATCACGTTATGCAAATAGCGCATAGCGCATAGTGCATAGCGCAAAGCGCATAACGCATATCGCTTATTGAAAACTCGAAAGTCGAAACTCGAAAATCGCATATCACGTTATGCAAATAGCGCATAGCGCATAGTGCATAGCGCAAAGCGCATAACGCATATCGCTTATCGAAAACTCGAAAGTCGAAACTCGGAAATCGCATATCGCGTTATGCAAATAGCTAGCCAGCGTCATCCGCGTTTGCGGACCCTTCTTTCCGGGGTCAAAGTCCCCGGACTACTCGCAGGCGCACCCGGAACACCAGAGTGCGCACCTACCCACCTACCCACCTATTATGCCGGAAATCCAGCTGCGTCAGAGATCAGTGCATATAGCACCGCAATCTCTCGACGTCAATAAGTCGAGTGGCCCAGTCGGTATTCCTCCCATTGTGCTTAGGACATGCGCTCCTGAGTTGGCACCGGTTTTAACGCGCCTCTTCCGGTTCTTGAATTCCATCGGCACAGTCCCGAAGTCCTGGAAGACTGCCGTAATACACCCGATCACAAAGAAAGGCGATAGTTCGGATCCGTCCAACTACAGGCCGATTGCCATTACCCCCTTCGGTCTCGAAAGTCATGGAAACGATCATCAATCGCCAAGTCATGTGGTACCTGGAGGAGCACCAGCTACTAAAATTAAAGAAGGTGCACAAAACACGTTACAATAAAGGGTCGGTCACTACAATTTGAACTAGGAAATAAAACAACTTTCAGCAAAATATTTTTAAGTCAATTAGTATATAACTTTTTTTTAATTACAAATCTAATAAAAAAAATTAAAAAATAAATTGCGTCGCCTTGAGAGTTACAGAATTACTTGATTAACAAATGGTAACAAATTCTGAATGCAAAAGATACAAGTAATTACTGGACCCCCCTATTTCTTCTCAGCGATAAAAATATCTCCCACTTAAAAAAAAAAAACTCTCTGGCACTACTTTTAAACGCTTTTAACACTTTATTGCATGGAATAAAAATAAAAAGCCACACAAAATGCGTAAAGTATTGACGCGAAGTGAACAGGGGGGTGACACTGCCATACAATATGATTGAAAAAACTTGGCACAGTAATCAACATCATCTAGTGTAGAAGTCTAGGAAACTTAGTCATTTAAAACGTTTAAATTAAGACTAGATGGCGTTAAAAACCAGCCAGTAACTCTTAATGGCTACAAAACTCTTTGATAGCAGCACAATATTGTGTCATAATTAAAAGCAAAAATAGTTATGACGTATAAACGTCACAAATTTTACAAAACTAAAAACGACTAAAATTAATTATAAATAAATAAATGAATTAGCAGCAGCTCGTCTTGTATATTAAAATTTGAAGGTGATATTCGGCAAAGTCGGTGTGACGCGGCCTCATATACATTACAGACAAATAGGTGCTCT